CCAGCTCATTTCAAAGAAAACAACTGACTTTTAAATGATAGTTTTTCTGAAGAAGGGTCTAGGCCCGAAACGTCAGCTTTCCTGCTCCTCTGATGCTGCTTGGCCTGCTGTGTTCATCCAGCTCTACACCTTGTTATCTCTGACTTTTAAATGACTGGATTTATGCTAGTCCAGTTTGAACAGTGTTGCAAACTTAGAGTAAAATCCGAAAGGACTGTGGATACTGTAAATCAGGAACAAAAACAGAAGTTGCTGGAAAAGCTCAGCAGGTCTAGCTGCATCTGTGAAGAAAAGAATCAGAGTTAATGTTTCAGGTCCGTTCTGAGGAAGGGTCACCGGACCCAAAACGTTAACTCCGATTTTTTTCTTCACAGATGCTGCCAGACCTGCTGAGCTTTTCTAGCAACTTCTGTTTTTGTTGCATACTTAGAGATTGTTTTGCCGTTGGTGATCAGCCTGCTAAAGGAAAAAACTTCCCAGCTCATCTGTCCTGTTTCTGGAAAAACTCATGTGGCAAATCCAACTGATTATGCCCTTGAGGGGTTCCTGAAAGAACCCGTGCTTCTTTGAGAAGCATCCTGTATAAAAATTCAGGAAGTAACTGCTTACGTTTGATTATATTTATGTTGTCTCCCACGAGCAGTGAGACTAGAGAAAGAGAGTGCACTCCTCCCATTTCAGTCATAATACGATGGAGAAAACAATGGAAGACTATACACTCCCAAAGATTCAAGGTAATTGAAAAAAGTTGCAAGGTTTAAAAATACTTTTTTGCAGAGAACAGATCGCTGTGTATTAATGTATATCACTTCTAGCAAGGATAAATGAGATATATACCTTAGCTATATTGTTTGGCTAATAATCTTAAACTGGTTTTTAGTATCATACATAGCATAATCGAGATTGTTCAGATGGTATTGTTCAATCCTGTACTCACATTTAACTGTTCTGAAGATCTCATTTCATTATCTATTTTTGGACTGTTGACTGAAAGTGAGGAAAATTGAACGGTGCTTTTAAAAGGGGAGAATGTGTAAGGAGTTGGTTTGCAATTGGGTAAAACAAGTCAAGCTCACTGATGCATATTTAAAAAAGTTACCTTTTGGACAAACAAATACGAACCAAATTGGCACAATTTCTTGTGGGTTCAAGACAGCTCAATTTTGCAACAACTCTCAGGTTAGTCAAGCTGAAGCTTAACATATAACCTGTGAGGAAACCACTGGAAGTAGCAGAATCAACAACTGTCTCTCCGTCTCCTTTCTCTGTAAGTTTGCTCTTTCTAATTCTCTGTTGGAAGAGCAGGAAAACTACATACAGAGGTGCTGAAATAAATAATTTTAACACCCAAAGGTAAAAGAACATCCTTGGGTTCAACCAATCACCCAGTGAACTAAAGGCTGATCAACCCTGTGCAGATAGCACTGTGGTATCACTGAAGGATACAAAAAAGGATGTGAGACCAATACATCCAGTGTTGGTGGCTTAGACAGGTATTACAGAATTGTGGTCTCTGTGACGTTATTTTCCTTCACTCATAACATTTGTGCCTTGTCTACTTCTCTTTGAGTGTCTGTTTGATATTTGAGCTTGACTCTTTCTCTTTGAGTGTCTGTATTTGTGTATGTGGTTGAGGGGGAGGGGGAAATCTCGAAAGATATGTAATTTAAATAGTATAGTCACAAACAGTTTTTTTTTATTATTAGTTAAGAGAAGCAGTTTGATTGACTAACTATTTTCTTGTTACTGCCAAAAACCTGATGTGTATTTCTTTCAACCTCAAATAGACAGTCAGGTGAATTGGACAATTCAGTAGTTTAATTAAAGTTTCACATTTGTGACATTTCTACAAACATTGGGACTCAACATTGTTGCATTCTCCCATTGCTTATTGCTTACTAGACTGGTTGAGGTGGGTCTGTACTCTGCCTATTATGCACAACTAAAGGAATAGGCTGAGATAACAAGGTGTAGAGCTGGATGAACACAGCAGGCCAAGCAGCATCAGAGGAGCAGGAAGGCTGACGTTTCAGGCCTAGACCCTTCTTCAGGCTGTTTGTTTCAATCAGCCAATTGTTAGAATGTATGGCTGATGTATTTGACATTATACTGGCACTGAAATTCAATCACAATGCTGCTCAATGTGGTAAACAAAACATCTTTTCAGATTGAAAGCAGCATCTTGTTAGGGAAAAGATACCAGTCACATAGGCAGTGCATTGTAACACCATAAAATATTGTTCATTTCTTTCAGTTCCTTTGCCTTTCCAAAGTAATTTGAGGAAGACTCAGCATTTTTCAGGTTCAAAGATAGCACCATTTCTTAGATATATGAGCTTGTGCCGTACATGACGAAGAATGATCTGAACAGGTTAGCTATTGTCCTGCAGGATAGCTTTCCTGTCTATTTCTGCAAAAATCTTGCATGTTGAACAAATGGCTATGGCCCTTTTACCACGTCCCTAATAAGGCTTAATGTTAGAGTATGTGGAGGTTTATGAACCCCAAGGTGTATAATTACC